TGTAAAAAAATAATTAAAATACTATTCAAATTTGGCACAAAATCTCAAAAAAATTATTTAAATTTGGCGCTAAAACTGAAGAAAAATTTGTGAATCGGATTAATTAATTAAACAATAAGATTAACACAAAATTAAATATAAATAAGAAGAAAAAAAAGCTTACCTGTGAATCTTTTAACCTAAAAGAAACAAAGAAAAGAGAAAAATAAGAAAAAAAAGAAATGATTAATTAATTTTGATTGAAAATAAAAATTGATCAATACAATTAATGTTTTATGTAAACAAAGTGACAAAAACATATGATTTTAGAAAAGTGAAAAGAAAGAGAAAAGAAAGAGAAAAAGAAAGAGAAATTGTGAAAAAGAAAGAGAAAAGAAAGGGCCCTTATTTTTAAAAAAGAAAGAGAAAAAAGAAAGAGAAATGGTAAAAAGCGCCATCTCTTGGCATCCGGGCTCAGTTTGCTCTCAGCACGGATAGCTTGCTCTCTCTTGCTTCTTACTCTTTGATTTGGAGTCTACCTTGGAAGATTGGAAGCTTTTAATGAAACATCAGCTGATGTCCGAGAAAATATTCTGTCTCTAATTACCGATGATTTAATGATTCGCAATTTTCGAACAGAATATTTACCTCAATTCTCCGTCAAAGAGGACACATATTCCATTGACTGTGTAGATATTAAAACCTGTTCATGGATCACCATGCATTCCGAACTTTCCAAATTAACAAACATCTCGCTGATTGTATCGATCTGGTCTCCACCTTATTACATGAAAACCTTTTGGCGTCAACTGAAAACCGAGTACGAGCAATCTTATTATTATTATATAACCAATATAACTTCACTAATAAAAGAGCAATACAATTTAACAGTTGAAAGAATCTCAATCGCCAATGAACCCGAAAACATGGTTGCCCTTTGGGATGAATGTACAATGCCCGCTGAGCAGTTATGCCGATTAATACAAACCTTTGATGATCCGGTCATCTGATTGTGCCCAGAAAATGCTTGGTTTTCAATATCGAAAATTTATCTTAACTATTCTTATCATGGTGTTGATTGTCGACATGCTTGTCGAACCGTAGTGACCCATGGATACACTCCAAGTCTTAATCCAATCTATTGGGGATCAGTTTATTATGACACGAAAAATTATCCACAAGATTTAGAGTCGCCCGTTTGGATAACCGAAATTTCATCCACTCGGATTCTTGCACAATTTCATCAAATGACCGAAGCCATTGACATGTCCATATCGATAATTAACTTTGTCGGTAGAACTTGTGTCCAGCGATATTATTACTGGTTGGCTTACACTTCCTCTCCTTCCGGTGAATCGCTTATCTGGGGCTCAGGGAAAAAGACCTCGATCATATTACCGAAAAAGTATTTTGCTTATCGACAATTTACCACCGCCAGTGTTCAAGATTCCACCTCTGATCGATCAGATTGTTCAACGTCAAGTTATTATTGTTTACGATTAAATCATAAAACAATTTTCGTTAATCAGGGTTACAATAAGGAGCAAATTAATGATCTTTGTGACCTTTGTTGTACCACCGATGATTTTGATTACCTTTGTACCGCTTCAAATGTGTTGCCACCACGATCCGTTTGCAGTTGTTGATTATACTCGCTCATCTCAACCTGACAATTTAAATTATCTTTTATTTTATCACCGCGGTAACCAGATTCATATCACATGGTATATACATGTATAATAATATTTCTTGTATGTAAACATAATTACCTTTATTTTCAGACAATTTAAGGACATCAGGCATTTTTGACTGTTTTTAGCCTAAACTTTTTTATGTGATTTTATTATATTTTCGGGCTTATGAGTAAAAACAAATCAACGATTTAGCGGGCAATCGAAGCAAAAAAGTCCAAAAAATTTAGCGAGCAAATCAAAGGGGGGAGTATTACTTTTCTGGAATTTTGTTATTTTTGAAAATTGACTTTTTTCAAATAATTAATTGTTCGATTTATTAAATTTATTTTAATTAAGATGCAATTCTTACTATTTTCTCGCTAGTTTAAGATAGATATTAAAAAAATCGTACCACTAACTAAATCAAAAATCAAAAATAAAGTTCCGCATCTTTGAGTGAATCAATCTAATATTAATTATAATCATGCAAATTGGCATCAAATTTATTTTCTCGACTGTATGATTAGATTATTAGTCTAGCTTTTTAATCGTAAAAAGATTAGATTTTGGATTGATTACGAGTTTTAAAAGCACCAAGAATATTATTAGCAAGACCAAGTTATCCACCATACGTAACACCCGTACCAGAACCGAGACCACTACCAGCACCAGGATTCTAAGCACCAAGACCAAGACCAACAGAACTCTGACCAAAAAATAGACCCTGATCAGCACCAACAAAATCATTACCTGCCAGATTCCGCTGACTCGGATGCTGACCCAAACCATAACCTCCAATCTGACCCTTACCCTGAGTGAACATAGCATTTCTAGAACCAAGATCAACAGCACTCTGATCAACAGCACTCTGACCATCAATATATGTGATCAGCCCCATAAAAACGCCGAAGAACAAGACAAAACTTAATTTCAGACGTGAATTGAGATCCATGGTTTTTTTTGCATTAAACAATTTGAATTTTAACTGTTGAAACGACTTATCACTAATTAAGTTGGAAATTTAATTCAACTGTGATCTTTTTACCCAATTATTTTACCTTTTATAAGATTTCTCTCATTACCAGTTTGTTGTTTTCAATAAAGTTACCTGAATAAACTCAACTACAAATCCATCTACGTAGATATAAACTGTTGATTTAAAAGAAACTAAACTCTTATAACTACAGGGTGTTTTTATTTGTTCTCCCGACGTCTGAAATGCCATAGCTCTGCAACGAATGAATTTAGAAATTGAACTTTTACTCCAATAGTGAGCTAAATCGAACAGTCGTTATAACTAAACATCTTCTTTATAAAGTCAGATCAAACTCAAAATAAAACTTTTCTCTCGATTTGAAAAATTAAGACCAAATTTTCGAGCTTTTCTAATGAGCCACAGATTCTTAACTTTCTTATGTGATTACTTGCCAATCAGATCTATCTAATAGTCTGTGGTTAACGGATTTCTGTGAACTTTATTTCTCAAATGTAAGATCTAATTGTTGTCTCCATGTGAACCAAAATAAAAAAACATAACAATTAAATACAATCAAGCAAATTTAACCCCAAATGAATTGGTTTGTCGTTGAACTGCTTAAACTTACGAGAAACAAACAAAAACCTTTTAATGTCATTTGAAGCATCAAAATAAAACATTTTAATGAATGACAATTAACCATGAAGATTAAAATATTATTATTAATCTATACACATAGAGGCCTAAGGATAATGCTCAATTAATTATGTAAATTATATTCACTAATATGAGGATATGAAAACTATTAATAAATTAATTCAGATGTAACATTAATCTGAGCGATTAATTTATTTTTGTGATTAACTGTCTTTTCCTATGAGAGTTGATCAAATGATGATGATGAAATCAAACCATCCTCATCTTTTGAATTATATTATTTTCAGTCACACTTTCAACTCACTTTGATTGAGTCTTCAACCATTAACTGCAAATATGATTTAGTTTTAATTTTTTTTTTCTATTTAATTGTCATTAGAGTTAATCAGTAGCTTTAATCAAATCTTACACTTCATGTAAATCATGTATGTACAACTTTTGAAATGTGAAATCATTTTCTTAACTCAATCGTAATCAACTTTAATTTGATTTCTTCAAATTAATAATTGGATGAGTATCTAGTCATTATAACGGAAAGGATTTGTCGATAATCAGATTTCCTTTCGTTTCAAGTTATTCTCGAACTCTAAAAAAATCTACTCTTTTTCATAATCAATCACTATCATCGTCTATTAATCATAATAATAATCGGAAGACACGAATGACCATTTAGACGACGCTCAGCATTATCTTTGTTTCATCCAATTTGATGAAATGTTTCACTTCCAATGGATTTCCAAGTTGTTGTTGTTGATCAGCTTATTTGTTTGGTGATCAAAAATCAAGTGCAAACAATTAAAGTGACAATTTCAAGGAGAAATAAGTTTACATTAAAGATATGGAATGACAAATTATTCCAATTCATTCAGTAAAATTAACTCGAACGTGTACTTAGTGTTGATTTGATTCTAAATATTCACCACGTTTTCATCAGCATCCGCATCACTTTCTTATTTAATTTCTTACTAACGGACGATTGGATAATATTATTTTCTCCCTAATTAACTTAAATTGTATTCGTGTCCGTATCTGTATCAGTCCTATTACTCAAAATGTTCTCGTCATCGTTTTCATCCTCATCTTTAGGATTATATTTCACCTTGATTCCTTTAATTGTTTCCCGACTATTTCATTGTGATTGATTTTACACTTCGATTTGTTGATTTTGTTACTCTAATGATTTATTTTTAATTCAGTCTTTATAGTAAGAGAAACCTTTTTGTTTCCATTTCAACAATTGACTAAATTGTGTCTTTTTATTTAATATATTGATCAATCCAATAGAACCGATTAAATTGGATTTAGATTTAAAACTGAAAGATTTTGACAAGAAGATTAACTTAACAGCTTAACTTTAACTGTTTAAAATCAGTTAATTGTTAAGTGTCTATAATATGACAAATATCAATATCGTTACATTGGTAAATTGCAATATATTCATTCAATGAACATTTTGTCAAATTGTTGAAGGTTTTCATTTGGTCAATATATTTGATTTGATTTACTTTTTGATTACTTAATCAGTCATTTGAATTGATTCTGATTTCACAATTGTCATCGATGAAACAATTAAGCCTCAATTAATTTCAATGGTTCTTTTAATGATTAAACAGAGATGAAGACATCAAATTGATTAAAGTGCATCAAATTAATGAGAAAATTAAATTGTTTCTGATTTTTGTGATTTACAGGAAAAAAGAGACAGAGACAGTTGATTGATTTTCTAACACAATTTATATTGACAATTTTTTTTTCGTGCACGTTAATTGTTGATTGATTAGTTTTAGATGTTTACTTACAATTGAAATATATTAAAGCTTATAAATGTAACATACTCTTTGGATTTAATCATTTTCTTGACCAGAGAGGGAAAGAGGTGGACAGTTGATTTAGCGATCGGAGATCGCGGTTGCCACGGACATTTCGGACTTAGCGTCTTCATCGGTTGTTGTTTCCACTGCACCAACACCACAGGCCAGACAGGGAAATTTGGTGAACAAAGCAGCCCGGTAACGGGGGTGACTTAAGGCGTAAACAATTGGATTGTAACATGCAGCACTTTTGGCAAAAACTGCCCCCCAAATGGACACCATGGGTGTTAGGTAATCGCCATTGGTCAGTATACCAAGGAAAGCAAGAGCACAATAAGGTGTCCAAGCCATGAACCAAAGTCCAACTGTTGCCATGGCCACTTTTGCAATACGAATATCATTTGATTGTTTATTGGAATCAGCGTTTGCCCTAAGTGAGGCCACATTCATTTTCTTTGCTTGCTCTCGAAGGGTTCGTTCATGGGTTGCCACAGCGGAGACAATGTACCAATAGTGATAGATCAATGTAAAGAGTGGGATGAAATAGACGAAAACAGCATAGACCACAGTGTATGAGGCCGTTTTCAAATCTTTGGAAAGATAGTCAATGGTACATGAGGTCATATTACCTTCGGGAACATATCGAGACCATCCAAAGAAAGGTGCAATTGTCCAGGCAACCGAGTAAATCCAAATGAATAAAACTTGACCAAGAGCTTTTTTAACGGTTAACCGGCCAGCGGACATACCACGGACTATAACATTATAACGATCACGAGTGATAAACACCAAAGACCAGATTGACCCACATCCGAATAGTGATCCCCACATACCATAAAGTTCACACCTAAAAATATTGAGATCGTTTCATTGTTACTGACACTTAATTGGTGAAGATACACTTACATAAAAGGTCCAAGAATCCATGTTTGGGCAAATGAATTGATCGCCATGGTGGTCATGTTAAAGGACATCATCATGAAGTCGGAAAAGGCAAGATTACAAACTAGAACATTGGTTGGACCTCGAAGTGCTTTGACCGCCGTCATCAAGTACAAGACTAAACCATTACCAACGATTGAAATGAAACCCAAGACAATCATGGTGACACCCAATAGACTGTACCAAAGAGGATTAATGGGCGGGAATCGGTACCAATGTTCAGGTACCATGTATCTCATTTCTTGAGGGACAAGGTCAACAATCGTCGCGTTGGGAGGGAAAGCCCAAGGCAACAAAGGCCGTTGAAAGTACGAATCACCGGGAGTATAACCATAACTTGGAACCGGAGGTCGATTCACATAGATACCATATGGAAAACTATTCATCTTGATTAGCAAACAATCAGTTAACTAATTTTTTATTTCCAATTAATATTCCACCCAAACAATTAATCACAATGAGAAGGTGAAAATGTCAATCAACAATTTGAATGGTTGAATATTAACAATTTTTGACATAAACATAGAAAACAAAGTTTAAATCACAACTAAATTGTCCATAATTAAGGTTTAATTACAAGATGATGATGATGATGATGATGATGATTAAATTAGCAATGAAAACGATTACCTTGATGATTAAAATTAAACTAACAAAAAAGTAATCAGGACAATTGGTTAGTCCTTTTATATAAATGGTATCACTTTGAATCCCTTGAAATGATTAAGACAATTAACATTCAACCAATTACAATACAAACAATTTAGTTGACATATTGCACTTCATCATCATCATCATCATCTTCATCTTCATCTTCATCTTCATCATCTTCATTTCTTAAATATGAACCTAGTTGATTTGCTTCATCAGATTTGAATTTAATTCCTTACAGACAATTTATATATTATCACATTCAGCTTACTTAGCATTGTGATAATCAATTACTATTATTACAATCTAATAACTTAGTTATTATGTTAATCATCATTAATTGGATTTAAATTTGAATACATTTACTATTAACTTAGTATTCAAATTAAATTTACTAATCATGAAAATGAGTTGAATGGACAATATTAAGTAAATATTCAACCTTGATTGTTAAGCATTTACCAACATTAATTTAGTTTTAATCATTCATATGAAATTAGATTACAATATAATATAAACATTATAAAAGGACAACAATTTATTAATTTCACTTGATTGTCTCGTTTTTTTGTTCAATTAATTAGTTAATATTATTTACAATTTTAATTTTGATCTTTGATTTTTTTGGTTCAATTTTAAAATTTTACACTTTTTACAATTAGTTTGATCAATTTGTTGTTGTTGTTGTTGTTGTTGATAATACAATTAGTTAATTGTTAAAGTTTAGTTTATGATGATTATGATGATAATTATTATAATGTTATAAATGCACAATGTTAATCATCACTCAAGTGGATTTGATTTGATTAATGTCTTAGTTAATTAAACGATTAAAAATAATACCTTGAAAACACTGATTACAATTAAAACGATGGTTACAATTAATTTACATTGGTATTCAATTGACTGTGAATACCTTGAGATACCTCCAACAATTTAGATTTATAATCAAATATGATTAGTTAATTATCAAAGTCCATCTCCTTTGAATCCGATCATATTGTTGTTATTAAGTTGAACTATTTTCAAATTGTAACCATCAGCAAATTTAGATTCAATTGTCGGGATTGATTCATTACAATTGACATCTTTTGTACTGGTACCAACTTTAACGCTATTTGGACGATAATCAAAGTGACCTGGGTCCCAAGGTTGAAGTTCAGCCGATCCAAATAGGATGAAGACAAGAGTTCCAATGACAAATAGACCAGCGGCAACTAGAAAAACGTGATTCCATTCAGATATTGAATCGCCGTTAGTGACCAAAGTGGACACCAACATTGGCGCTAAAATACCGGGTACATTTCCGATTGTGTTGGCGATACCCAAAAGTGTACCAGCAAAGGTCGGACTCAGGTCAACATTGGTTATCTTAAACCCAGAGATAGCAAATCCACAAAGTCCCAAGTTCATTGTGATCAAGGTGATCGCTAAATTTGAGTTACGACCCGAGAAACAATTAACCACTAGACAAATCGCTGGTCCAATAAAACCTAAACAATTAACCATCATAATACAAGTTAATTAGTTGATTAATAAGAAAATTAAAGTTGGATATTGACAAGAAATCTTACCTATCGAATTGAATGTTTTCCTTAAAAATGTTATTGAAAATCGACCTTTTTGCCGAAGGTGATCTAGAACCATTCCACCGATGTAGCCCATTATGCTCTGGGCGATATAAGGTAAACTCGAGATTATGTCAGACTGTTGATTAAGAATCGAAAACACAATTAGTAACAATTAAGGTGAAAAAAAAGAGATGGAAATTCTGATCAACAATTAACTCTTTCAGTTATTTTTGTATTAAAAAATTTCATCGTCATAACGTTAATCTGATTTGGGATTATGGATTAATCCATGATGATTGGTGAGTCATCGATAATTTAAACTGATTGGTTAAATTGCTGATCCGATCTGATTGATGATTAATCAATAAAATTAATCAATCAGAGTCATCAAATTGTAAACTCACAATAACAACAAAAAAACTATGGCTTCATTTTCAATAATGATTAATGAACTAATAATACAACAATTAGGTTATAATACAAAATAGACTCAACAATTAACTAATTCTCACAGAAAAAAAAGCAACAACAGTTAATTTAAATTGTTTTAATTTGAAATGATTAACTATCGTTCATCAACCTTATCAATACTTTTTATTATTTGATTAATAAGAAAAACTTTTACAACCGAAACATATTATGACTAATCTAATTGTTGACTAATTAGCTAAACCATTTCAAGTTAATCAAATACAATTTAATGATAAACAATATTGTTATTGTTTGTTTAATTGTTAAAAGTAATTTTCCCTTGTCAAAGTTAATCACAATTAAGCCTTTTCTGTTAATCAAAATTGTTCCTAAAAAAAAGCAAAAACAATAACAACAATCAAGGTTAATCATTTTCATCTTAATTAATCAAGTAACGGAAGAAGGTTATAACTAGATTAATATATAGCGATTAAAATTGTGTTGATTGTAATTGTAAATGATTAACATAAAGTAAACAATCAAAGTAAATCAAACAAAATGATTAAGCTTAATAATGAATCAAGTGAATGGGAAAACTAATGTTGAAAAGCAAAAGTTTTCAACAACAATCAGTGTAGTTGTTTTAATCGTCTCGCTATTTTAACAGGGAAAAGGTTAATTGTTGATTGTTTGGGAGGTGATTAAAGTTAATTTGATTACCTTAGCAACATTTAGTCCAAGGACTCGGTGAAAGTAACTGGGAAGTTGAGTTAACATGGTAAGATAAGCCCAATTGTATACGAACGAGGCAAAGACCATTGCAATGAATGGTGAATTTGTCAATATTTGTTTCCATGGAATTGGATGTGACTGTAATTAGATTGAACAATTTAAGTTAAATTATTAATTGTCATTTAATAAATTGTTTTCTAGTAATAATCAAACTGTTGATCAACTGTTATTCAATAATATTCAATGTTATAAATAGATTGTGATACTTGAACAATTCAATTCTTGGTAATGATTATTTACCTTGTTCACTTAATTTAATCAATCATAATAAATTAATAGTAGTAATGTTTGGATTTTAGACGCCCCGCCCTTAAGGGCGGGGCGTCTAAAATCCAAACAACTGAATTTTTCCATAAAGTTTTTTGAATCAATTCTCTTGATAGACCAACGTTCTAAAAGATAATTAATTAATTGAGAATAATTAAAAAGTATTATTTGTCTATGAAGCAACTGAGTCTATTATTGATATTGTAATATTATTCAATTCATTTTGTCTTGATTGTAGTGATTAATTCAAATGAGAATAATAAATTGAAAAAGTTAACGCGAGCGCGATGTTAAACAAAAGTCTTTAAAATCTTACAATAAAATGTTTAATTAATTGTATCATAAAAGTAGTACAAATTGAAAAGTAATTTTCAATTATAATCAGTGGTTACAGTACCAGTATTATCAATTTGTATGATATTATCATACTCACAAAACAGTAAAAGAGTCGCTGTTGAAGTTAAGGCAGACTTGAATTGGAACTCAATTCGCATTGTGCCATATTTAAGATTATTTATAAATGTTTTATTACCAGGAGAGTGGTCAGGGGAGAAATCAAATGCAATTATCGGAAAATTTTCTTTGTAAGTTTCTAAGTCATAGCTAAAGTTGTTTGGAATACCTAACGTATCATGAACACCTTGGAACGGTGTCATGCATAGTAATGTTTGAAAATCCATCTCATACGGCTTGGTTGGATATTGATCCCCATTTATTGAGCATGACATTTTAGTGAGGTTAAAATGTTTGAAGTTATAAGGACTTGACGATAGAGATCCTTCAAAGCTTGCATTATCCAAAAATGTAGCAAAACATCTCCTTGGTATCTGACCAACTATCGCATTGTCTATGATTCCGCTTGGAGAAGTGCTATGAATTGTAAAATATTTGACTTCTCTCCTGATTATTGGATATTTTAAAGAGCTCGATCTCAAAGCATTTTTCAAAGCTGATTGCATCAACTGAGTCATTTTGTATTTATGAACACTCAGATAAGCATCTTTTAAATGTAACTCAGGCTTATGAGTTTCGGCGTCGGAAGTATAAAAGATAAAATTAGATTTTTGTTGATAAAGCTTTATGCGTATAGGAATTGAACCAGGTAAAGGACGAGGCTGTGTAGCTAAATCAAAATCAAGAGCTCCAAATAATTCAACTAACTGTCCATCGGTTTCTCCCTTAGAGGTTTCATTTAAACCAGACGGTCTTATAGGCTGTGACCTGAATGATGAGATGTTATCAGTTATTGAAGCTGAATTTTCAAACCAATAAGCAGCTCTGGATGATGTATTTTTCTCTATTAGCGATCTGTTTAATAAAGTATAAAAGAAACTAGCATATCCAAAAGTAGAACATGAAGTAGATACTTGTTTATCACCAATAGTAACTTCTACATCTCTAAAGATACCATTAAGAGCATTTTGACATAGCTCAAGATTTTTCCACTCTCCAAGTTTTGGACTTTCATCTGTAACAATGGCTTTATATTTAACCATAAATTTCAAGTACAATCTCGTTTTTGAAAGAGATATTAATTCATCTTCATTACCAGTAATGTAGAATTCAATTGGACTTTCAGGATTTAGAGCAGCTAAAGGGCGAAATGAAATTTGAGATGATTTCTCAATCTGATTTGTAACTGGAGGCAATTTAAAAAGGTCTAATTCAGGTAGAAGAAACATTTCATGTAGCTTATTAGCCGATGACATTATCGATGAATTCAAAATTATTCTTCTTGGATCTTTTAACTTTTGGTTTTTTCTGTTTAGTTGATTTGACTTTAATTTTTTTCTTGTTATGATTTTTTTGTTGTTTACGAGCCGCAGGCTTCTTCTTGAATGTCTTTGTTTTCGTGGTAATCCTATTAATATTCTTAGTGACAATTTTTTTCTCTCGAGGTGGTTTACACGGATTCTTTTTCACTTTTGGTCTATCTTTAGCTTCATTACCGTCTTTACCAGCAATTTGCTTTTTATAATATTCAAACAGATTATCAATACGCATCTTGTTGGAAATGAAGTGTAACAAATGTTGTTCCAGTAGTAAATGACGGTGTTACACGAAGAGAATCCTTTATATTTATTGAGATAGATTCCAATTCTGTAACTTTAACATTTCTTTTTTGAGGTTTATTGAATTGGATGAATAGGTTTTCACCGAATTTTGAAGTATTCGGAGCTGTTAAATAGTTCAGAATTTGTTTCTCGTTATTCCCAATACACACTGGCTCTATTATGTTAGTCTCAATTGTAAATATTTCATTTAAAAAGAATGAAGATATAGGGTTGTTACTTATAATGTTATATTGACCAGGAATTAAAGAGGGTAGACCTAATACGTGTCTCGTTGTTTCATCAAAAACAGGCAAGATTCTAACGATCTCATTGTTTTGTAAACTTATCTCTCCAGGGGAAATAGCAAGAGTTTTACCATTTGGGTTGAAGAACATATCGATTTGTTTCGTGAAAATATCATCTTGCACAACTGAAGTTAGATGATTAATTAGTTCACCAATATTATTTTTCCAATCGAAAAAGGTTGTAATCGGTGTTAAAGCTGAATAAGATTTCAATGATTGTGTATCTACAAAATTGATGGTAATTTTCTTTGATGATATCCAAGTTATCGGAATACAGATCTGAGTTAAGCTCACTGACCAATTGCCATAGAAGTTTAGGCGTTTGCACAAAAGATTTTTGAAATTTCCTGGTGTATTTTCAGGAAAAAGCTCTTTTGAGGAGTCACTCTTAAGAATTAGATCGAAAGAATCAGCAATCATTTTCCTATATTAGATTCAGGTGGTTTCTTATTAAAAACAAAAGGCGAAGGTAAGATGTATCCAAGGCAGCTACTCATGAGTGAAATCCAAAGTGATTCTCTTTCAATACCAATGCTCAAATTTATAACACTCACAAAGATGACAATTACAATTATAACTATTTGGGCTATAAAGAGAATGTATTCAGGATTTTTATGATAACCAATGTTTTCATTTATAGAGCTCAAGTTCTGATTCTGGGATCCATTTATTATACTTTGATGGGAATCCAACCCATTTGACCTCAAACCATTTACTTCCATTTTTATATTTTGTATCTTTAATGGATTCTATTTTATAAGTTTTAACTGGAATGAGTTTGACCTTCTGGACTTCTTCTTTATAATATCTTTGTAGATTCTCAGATCCTTGTTTATTTCGCACTTTAAATAGGTTTTTTGTATCTCCTCTATTGTATCCAGTGATGAAAAACTTTTCTTTTGACCAATTAGGTAGATAACCACGATTAAAAGCTCCGAGATGTTTTCCAATACGTACTTTATCGCCAAATAAAAGTTCTTTATTTGCATCAGCTCTTATATCCATAAGTTTTCTTCCATATGATGCTTCAAATAAAATATCACTTTTTATACTAATAGCTTTTTTTGGAGTTGTCTTTATAGACCGGTGAATACTGTTATTGTATGAAATAACGATTTCAGGTAATTCAGTTATCCATCTCTTCGTATTTTTACTAGTCATAAGCCTAAAAATTTTATTCTTCAAGGTTCTATTAAATCTTTCAACTAGAGCACATTTAGTTGTTTGATTTCTAGTCGTAAAAAAGCTTACTCCGTTTTTATTCAAATAATCTTTTACAATGTTATTAACAAACTCTTTCCCTCGGTCTGTTTGTAAATACAAAGGTTTCTGTTCAGCAAATATTTTACGAAAAGACTTGACTATCTCTGATGGCTTCTTAGACTTTATAGCAATTCCCCAACCGTAACGCGATAGCACATCTATGACAGTAAGAATATATTTATAGCCGTAATTACTTTTCTCCAGTGATCTCATATCAGCTAAATCAGCTTGAAATTGGAACATTTGATGAGGAACCCATGTTTTATTTCGAACAAACTTTCTTTTTATTTGTTTATGTAAAGTATAACTATCCTGTGTTGATAACCAGTTTTGAACTTGAGTTTTGGTGACTCCATACTTTTTTACACTATCATAGAGAGAATTCACTCCTCCATAGCTACCGGGATTGGAAGCTTTATAATAGTTTTCTGAAAGTAAGTTTTCTAGTCCACTTTTCATTTTATGGTATAAACCATTTGCTAGTTCGCGGTGATTTTCTACGTTGTTGGTTATTGTAATTTTTTCTTGTATATTTTCTTTTTACAATGTCATCATTATTTTCTATTATAATCTCAGTTGTTTGACTATCATTATCGTCATCTTGATTGTTAATTTGCTCTACCGGTTGGTAGTCAGGAGTGATTACATCTAATGTAGGGCTTGGTAGACTTTGATCAGGATTCTGAATCGAGTTTAAAATTAGTTTATTAGGAATCTCATCTATATTTGCTTTAGATAAAATTGAAGGTAGAAATTCAAATCCTTGAACGTAGCTTTCAGGCTTTATAGCATGTAGTAGTATATCTATGATATCACTTCCTTCAACAGGTTTATCATCAATTGAAATAATTTCTCGGTCATAATTATAACATTTTTTAAGCGCCAATTTAACCAATAATGAAGCAAGAGTTTTCACTTCATCTATAGTAAAACAACGTTTGACATCAACAGATTTATTTTTTATTGAAGATTTACTTTTTTTCTTTGGAGATATCTGGTTTTCGTATTCAGGAGTCACAATAGTTTTGCGAAACATTACTTCAAAGAGATAACTTCTTTTAGTGAGGGTAACAGAATTTTAATATACTTTATATAGCTATTAAGCATTTGTGGCGTTACTTGTTTTTTAGATGTAGATTTTTTACTAAGTTTATAAATGAACTTTTTTAAGGGCCTCAGCTCTTTTTTC